AGCGCAACTCGATTCCTGGGGGCGGGGCTTGCAGCAAGCCCCGCCCCCAGGAATCGGGCCCCGCTCTTGCTAAAGCCGGCTCTGCCCACCGGTGCCTGGGAGCAATAGTGCTCACCCGTCTTTGTAAAGGGCTTGGAGGTCTCTGGGTGCTAAGAATTAATGCCGTAGATGTCCTGGCCCTGATTCTGCACAGGAAAGCAGGAACACATGAGCAGAGACCCAGGATCTAAGAGCAGGAGAGACCATCTCTAACAGACTTTGACCTTCCCTCTGAGGCGCTCAAAGTGGCTGATAAACACTCAGGAGCTCAACCTCGCGCAGTGAGACAGGCTGCCTATCATTAGCCCTTCTTTACAGATGGGAAAACTGAGGCACAGAGAGGGCAGCAACTTGCCCAAGTTTCCATGGCCCATTTAAAGCAGCACCTCTAAGGGGACAATCTCATATTTTACACAGGAAGTTCCTCCTGCATGCTGAGAGCCGGCTCTGCTTTACGTTCTCAGTGGATATGGCTACTCCAACACCCTGATGCAAACAGGCGAACGCTTTCAACTGTGAAGACAATGACTGGTTTTAAAAACATGTTAGAAACCAAGGGCCAGAGCCTCAGCTGATGGAAGCCACTGGAGCTCCGGTGGGATCTGGCCTGGAGACTCAGTCTCTAGCAGTCACTGATCTTTACTCTGTGCACTACCACCTAGAATGCCCCAGTCATATAGCTCTCAATAGAGTCCGCCGTGACGGGGACTTTTGCTTTAGTTCTGTGTATTTAGGGTGCTCCCTTATTCACCTTGGTGCAAAGTGTGCTAAGAGACCAAGACTGATTCTCTCTCCTGCACAGTGTAGGAAGTTTGGCACTGGGGCCTGGTAATGGGATATATAGCTCTGATGCCCAGATTTAGGTTCCGAACTCTTGCAGATTTCAATGGAATTTAGGAGCCTAAATACCTCTGTGGGTCTGCGCCTGAGTCACTGATTCAAATCCAGCCCAGGTAAGCAGCGACTGACTGACTGGTGTACGGGAGGTGAGTTTCGGTCACATTGCTGGTGGACAGGCATATACAGGTCAAACCACCATCTCCTCTGTCGGTGGCGGAGAACTGGCTGGGTCTTGGAGAATGAACCAATACCCTCTACGTGAGCACTGCAGGGCTCAGGGGCACACAGTCATGGACACAGTATAAATCCATTACTACTCACAGGGCAGTGTGAGCAGCTCATCCTCTGTGCCTAACTGGTGACCTTGAGTCTCCAGGGCTGTCAATCAATCTATCCCACCCCTGGAGGTCATGACCCCTGCAGTGTGAAACCTAAACGTTGAAAGGGAAAGTCCATAAAGGATTCATGTACCACATGTGCTAGGTGCAATTAACAGGCCCATGGAAATACCATGGAACAAACCAACAGTGGGGGCTGGAGTGCCCTGGGTGAGCCAGGGGCTGGGAACAGGCTCTGGAGGTGGTGTTCGGGGATTGGGTTGGATGGCCTAAAGGCTGGTGTATAGAGAAAGCCGTCCCCAAGGGACTGAGCCACAATTCATTGGATTGACTGGGCTTTGGATCAGGTCCTTAGCTCTTGAGACAAGCTGCGGCGTGGCACAGGGGCAAGGAGAAGAGTGCTCATTCCCCATAAGCGGAGGTGTGGGGGGGAGATTTGAGAACAACATCTAGTGTGCATGGAAGGGGCTGGCTGTGGAGATCACGCTTCCATATGGATCCACAGACCAGGTACAGCACAGCGGTCTCTGAGGTGTTTCAGTGCTGACCCAGATCTTGGGGTGAGAGGGGAGTCCCAGTCTCCATGGCCCAGTCAGTGTCCATGCTCTGCTCAGACTCACAGCAATGCTGGTCGCATGCTAGCTGTGACGGGGGGTCAGGACTAGTCAACCCTGTCATCCTATGGGAATAACTCACTCCCACCCTGGGGCAGCCCCGTAGCAGCCCCCGACTCCTTTACCAGTCTCCCAGAGACCATGGCCTCATTGCGCTAGGTGCTGGACATGAGAGGTGGGCCCTGCTCTGAAGAGCCTACAGGCTAAGGCAGAGGTGGGCAAACTACAGCCTGCAGGCCAGATTTGGCCCGTGAGCTGTTTTAAGCCAGCCCGCGAGCTCCCACTGGGGAGCAGGGTTGGGGGCTGCACCACATGGCTCAGCCCTGCTCCGGTGCTCTGGCCAGGGCATTGAGTCGGGGGGCCACACCACACAGCTCCCAGAAGCCGCAGCATGGCCCCACTCTGGCTTCTACGCATTCCAATGGCCCCCTCCGGCACTCCAATGGGAGCTGCAGGGTGGTGTGTGCAGATGGGGCAGTGTGCAGAGCCACCTGGCCGCACCTCCACATAGGAGCCGGAGAAGGGACATGCCACTGCTTCTGGGACCCGCTTGAGGTAAGCACCACTCGGAGCCTGCACCCCTGAGCCTCTCCCCACGCTCCAACCCCCTGCTTCAGCCCTGATCCCGGTCTCCAAACCCCTCGATCCCAGGCCAGAGTACCCTCCTCACCCCAAACTCCTCATCTCCAGCCCCACCCCAGAGCCCGCACCCCAAACCAGAGCCCTCACCCTCTCCCGAACCCAATTTTGTGAGCGTCCATGGCCCGCCATACAATTTTTATTCCCCAATGTGGCCCTCGGGCCAAAAAGTTTGCCCACCCCTGGGCTAAGGAGAGAAGAAAGACAAAGGGTGCGAGGGGAAACAGAGGCACAGAGTAAGCCAGTGGCAGAGCCAAGAATAGAAGCCAGGTCTCCCAACTCCTACCCACTGCCCTCCCCCCAGGCCACATTTCCAGTCTCTGCCAAGCCCACACCCAGCTAGTGTGATACATGATGCCAATGGCAGGAGGCTCAACTGTGCTCAGTTAATATAATAGTGAACACCTCACAGTATGCGTGTGCCACCCTGGAACGCTGATTGCTGCTCAGCATACCATAGAGAAGAGACCTCTTAGCAGCCCGTCTCCTAAAATAACCCCTATTTCCAGGGGCTCCATTCATTTCCTTCACATTGCCTCACCTGATGGCTCCTCACCTGGGGAAGAAAATTATGGGACTAGCCAGGGAGAGGAATGACTGTGGGGCAGCTGCTGGAATGCAAGGAGTCCCACCAGTGACTCCACCCTAGCCTGCAGGCCCACGCTAGCTGGGAGAGGCCGGGCAGTCGCTGTGCTAGCTCACCCTTGCTGAGAACACCTTTTAAGGACTCTGTGAAATCAGTGTTGTGTGGTGGGCTCAGGCCCACGGGAAATTCTGCTTGGACCCACCGCCCAAATCCACTGAATTTGGAATGACAGCTGGCCGAGGGGCTTCAACTAAATGTTTTTTCCTCAGAAAATGCCAGTTTGTTGAAACTGAAGATGTTCGTGGGAAGGAGTCAGTTGTTTGTCACGAAAACATCTTGGAAAAAGCACATTGACCAGGGGGAAAGAGGCATCCGGTTTATGGGTTATTCTGTCACATTCAACTCCCCACAACTCACCCCCTTGCCAATGTCCAGCTTCCGTTCTTGTGTCCAGACATCCTGTTCCCCAACACTCAATCCCCTCTCCGCAGTGGGGAGCAGACATGGGACTCCAGGAGGGAGTGAAATGAAAGGAAGACGGTGGCTTCGCAGACTAGTTCTGGAAGGGCCTCCTGTGCACTATGTGGCTGCGGAGAAGAAAGACCAGAGATGGTTGTGTGAACGCGCAGGTGGATGTAAGAGTGTGTCGGAGATTGTATGTGCATGAGCAGGTATGAGACTGTGTGAACGTGTCCGTGTGTACATGTATGTGAGACTGTGCATGTGTAAAGTGTGAGAGTGAGATTGTGAGTGAATGTGTGTATGTGTGTGTGACTTTGTTCAAGCAGGGGTGTGTGTGTGTGTGTGTGTGTGTGTGTGAAAGAGACTGTTTGAGCAGGTGTGTATACAGCTGTGTGTATGTGAGAGACTGTGAGGGGGTGTGTACATAGGTGGGTGTAAGTGACTGAGTTCAAATGTGTGTGTGTGTGTGTGTGTGTGTGTGTGTGTGTGTGTGTGT